AGATAAACATACAAAAATCAGTTGGATTCCTTTACACCAACAAAGAGAACCTTGAAGAGGAAATCACCAAAACAATACCATTTACAATAACCCCCAAGAAGATAAAATACTTAGGAATAAATCTAACCAGAGATGTAAAAGACCTACACAATGAAGACTACAAGACACTACTGTAAGAAACCAAAAGAGACCTGCATGAGTGGAAAAACATACCTTGCTCATGGACAGGAAGACTCAACATTGTGAAAATATCAATTCTAGCCAAAGCGATCTACAGATACAATGCAATCCTGATCCAAATTCCACCAGCATTTTTTAATGAGATGGAGAAACAAATCACCAACTTCATATGGAAAGGGAAGAGACCCCGAATAAGTAAAGCATTACTCAAGAAGAAGAACAAAGTGGGACACCTCACACTACCTGATTTTAGAATCTATTATTCCGCCACGGTAGTCAAAACAGCCTGGTACTGGTACAACAACAGATACGTACACCAATGGAACAGAATTGAGAAGCCAGACATAAATTCATCCACCTATGAGCAGCTGATATTTGACAAAAGCTCAAAGTCCGTTCACTGGAGAAAAGACAGTCTCTTCAACAAATAGTGCCGGCATAACTGGCTATCCATCTGCCAAAAACTGAAACAAGACCCATACCTCACACCACGCACAAAAACTAACTCAAAATGGATCAAAGACTTAAATATAAAATTGAAAATGATAAAGATCCTGGAAGAAAAAATACGGACAACGCTAGAAGCCCTAATACATGGCATAAACACAATACGAACCATAAGTAAGAAGGCACAAGCACCAGAAGAGAGACTAGATAACTGTGTGCTCCTAAAAATTAAACACTTACGCTCATCAAAAGACTTCACCAAAAGGGTCAAAAGACAACCTACAGACTGGGAAAAAATTTTTGGCTACAACAAAGCCGATCAGTGTTTAATCTCTAAAATCTACAAGATACCGCAAAACCTCAACAAAAAAAGACAAATAACCCAATTAAAAAATGGGCAAAGGATATGAACAGGCACTTCCCCAAAGACGACATTCAGGCAGCTGACATATGAAGAAATGCTCACGATCATTAGCCATTAGAGAAATGCAGATCAAAAATACAATGAGATATCATCTCACCCCAACAAGGCTAGCATTAATCCAAAAAACACAAAATAATAAATGTTGGAGAGGTTGTGGAGAGACTGGAACATTTTTACACTGTTGGTGGGAATGTAAAATGGTACAACCACTTTGGAAATTGATTGGGCGCTTCGTTAAAAAACTAGAAATAGAAGTACCATACGATCTAGCTATCCCGCTCCTTGGAATATATCCTAGAGAAATAAGAGCCGTCACACAAATAGATATATGCACACCCATGTTCATTGCAGCACTGTTCACAATAGCAAAACGATGGAAACAACTAGATGCCCATCAGTGGACGAATGGATAAATTATGGTATAGCTACACAATGGAATACTACGCAACGATAAAAAACGATGAAGTCGTGAAACATAACATAGAAGAATCTATAGAGGGCATTACCTTGAGTGAATTTAGTCAGTCACAGAAGGACAAATATTATATAAGACCACTATTATAAGAACTCAAGAATAGGTTTAAACACAGAAGACAACATTCTTTGATAGTTACGAGGGTGGGGAGGGAGGTTGAAGGTTATTCACTAACTTGATAGTAGATAAGTATCATCGTAGGGGAAGGGAATGACAGTACACACTACAGGAGAAGTCAGCACAACTGGACTAAACCAAAGCTAAGAAGTTTCCTGAACACAATCAAACACTGAGGGACAGAGTAGCAGGGGTAGGGGTCTGGGGACCATGCTTTCAGGGGATATCTAGGTCAGTTAGCATAACAAAGTTTAAGAAAATGTTCTGCATCCCACTTTGGTGAGTGGCGTCTGGGGTCTTAAAAGCTTGCAAGCGGCCATCTAAGATGCATCAGTTGTTCCCAACCATGTGGAGTAAAGGAGAATAAGGAACACCAAAGACACAAGGAAAGTATTAGCCCAAGAGACAGAAAGGGCCACATAAACCAGAGACTTCATTAGCCTCAGACCAGAAGAATTAGATGGTGCCCGGCTACCACCAATGACTGCCCTGACAGGGAACACAACAGAGTCCCTGATGGAGCAGGAGAAAGGTGGGGTGTAGAACTCAAATTCTAGTAAGAAGACCAGACTTAATGGTCTGACTGAGACTGGAGAAACCCCGGAAGGCACGGCCCTTAGATTCTCTATCAGCCCAGAACTTAAAACAATTTCCGAGGCCAACTCTTCAGACAGGAATTGGACTGGACTGTGGGACATAAAGTATGATACTCATGAGGAGTGTGCCTCTTAGCTCAAGTAGACACAAGAGACTAAACTGGCAGCTTCTGTCTGGAGGTGAGATGGGAAGGCAGAGAGGGTTAGGAGCTGGCTGAATGGACATGGGGAACCAAGGGTGGAAAGGAAGAATGTGCTGTCACAGTAAGGGGAGAATAATTAGGGTCACATAACAATGTACATATCAGTTTTTGTATGGGCGACTAACCTGAAATGTAAACTTCATTTAAACTACAACAATTAAAAAAAAAAAACCTATCTTTGAAAACTACACCTTCACTACTTACACCTATCTTGTGTAACACCTACCTTTTGGGATTCTTGCTATGTGATCGAGACCTAAAAAAGAATAATATCTACTTTTAGAAAAATGACTATAAAAAATAAAAATAAAAAAAGTGAGAAAACAGTACAAGGTGTTGTTAAAATTACTTCTCCTGATTTCTAATCTTTATATTAATTTTATAAATATAAGGCATATACTTAGGCACACAAAATTTTCCAAAATGTACCATAAACCATACAGACTCCTGCACCGTAGGTTCTTCTCTTTGGCATATGAGCTCCTTTAAGTGAGGCTATAAAAGAATATGCTCCTGGCATGGGGGTGGGGGTGAGGGCTAAAACACAGCACATGACAATTCACTAACTCTCCAGAAACCACTTCCCAACCTGGAAAAAGTCCTTTGTTATTTCTATCTCGGTCATTTCTTCTCTCCCTCTATAAAGGCTGTGAATTACCTATACATTGGAACTACAACCTCATTCTGCAATCCCTAGAACACCAGCTCCATCTGGTAACACCGTTCCTTAACATGCAGTGCAATGCTCCTTTTTCAGCACACGGGTAATTACTGCTCACTAAATGGCAGTGGCTGACACTCCGGCCATTAGGAAGCCACAGACGTTTCTGTGTTGAGAGCATGGCCCTGGACTCAGCAGGTCTGCGTTTTACTCTGGCTCTGCCACCCACCATCTGTGAGACCTGGGTAGGTTATACGCTCCCTCAGCTCAGTTTGTCATTGGTAAGAGAGGACTAGGAATAGAAATTTCACAGTGGAGTTGTAAAGATTCGATGAACTAACACAGGTAAATTCCTTAGAACAGTGCCTGGCACAAAATAAGCACTCACTAAGGAATAGCCATTTTTATTATTATCCTTTCCAATACTAAGACTGGAACTCCATCTTCTATAAGTGTGTACTGCCTTGCAATTTCCACATCTTCTATACTTAGTTATGACATACCTCCAGGTCAGAGGCAGATATACAGATTTTGTGAAAATATTTTTTAAACACTTCTGGAATAGGGTCACATTTTATAATCAATATTAAAATAAACCTGCCACTCGGCAAGCAGAAAAGAAAGGCATGAGGTACTTTCTCACACCTACAAATGTGAAACATTGTCCTGCAAAGAACTGGTTGTCTCATTTGACTGCCTCCTTGTATGACTGGCACCACATGCCGTGCAATTTTAATTTAAACCTGGATTTCCAATATGACTAAAAAGCCATTCGTATTGTCTTAAATATTACAACACTAGGCGATATTCTCATAAAAACTTCATCTACACAAGAGCATGGAGATTAAGCTCTGAGGTAAAAATTTAGAGTAAACGGAGGAATGACAGCATTTCCCCTAAACCACTTTGTCACAGACAGTCCAAAAACGGTCACCCGTCAGAAGCCACACAACACAAATGGAGTGAGTTTAAACCTCCTAAAACAGAGCAAGTATAACACGTTCAAAGCTTGGATGAAGGTGGTGTGACCTAGTCACCTCCTGTGAAGAGTTTTAATCATCTCGGCATAACATCTGCTAACTCTAAAGAGAGGTATTTCATTTTCAGAGATGTGTAAAACAATCAAGGGAGCACCAGGAATGAGAAACACAGGGAAAAGCTTTGTGGCATGCCTGTCCACCCTAAGGCTGTTGAAGAAGTTACAACTGAGTCAGAGGGATGCTGCCACCACAATGCTATGCAATTTTAGTTGCCAATGAATAAAAGTGATTCAGAAGAGCCTTAGACATTCTAAATATGAAAAATGGTGTGATTTTATCAATTAATAAATACTAATGCATTTCTTCTGGTGATGTCTCCTAGAATTGAGAAAATATAGAATCCAAGTTCAATGTAAAATTATCAACAAATCAAATAAACAAACACTTCTTACCAGCAAGTATAAAATATATCATACAAGTGAAAATAGTTCTATGTCAACCTGGTACAAATCTAGCCCATTATAAATATCAGAGGACTAGAAAAGAGCTTTGCTATAAATCTTACAAGACACACAGGTGTGAAGCTCTCGATTCACTCTTCCACATATTCTGAAGAAAACCACACTGAGTTAAATAACAAGTTAATATACTTGTATAAACATTGTTCCACATGGTAACTTTTTAAAAAAAGTAAACAGAAATTTCCCACTTCTCATAGCAGATTTGTTACTGCTGATTGTGTTCCGTCACGTCAATTTGTCACGTCTGTTCTTGGAGGACAGAGAAGAACTGCGTCATAGGGTTTCCTAGACTGTAACCTTTACGGAAGCAGATAATCAGGTCTTTCTCCGATAATCAGGTCTTTCTCCCTTGGAGCAGCTGGTGGGTTTGAACTGCTGACCTTTCGGTTAGCAGCCGAGCCTTAACCACTGCACCACGAGGGCTCCTTATAGCAGAAGAAGTAACATCTAAAATCTGGTATCAATCGCCTCTCTTGACAGGAGACAATCCACTTCTAAATAATGGGATGAGTCTCCTAATGAGTCATACCTCCTCAGCTTCTCCCTTTCTTCTCTCTCCCTTTCTTCTCTGCGTTTCAGACGTTCCAGGTTTCTTTTCTCCTGCTTCTCAGCTACAACTCTCTTAAAAAACAAAGTTCAAACAGTAAGTGAGGAGCGTACTTGCTGGCTCCGTTCTTAATGAGCTCTATGCTACAACTCACCATGTCTGGTTTCCAACACAGTATATGTATCATTAAAATCTGTTTAACGAGAATTCAATTTGAAGTTTATACAGGTATAACCATTAGACTTACAAGTCTGTGATTTCCAAAATCTTTCCCACTTTTTTGAAAAGTTTATAAATTTTCACATTTCTCTATGATTTCTTAATGACATTTCAAATCATTTCTACAAAATTTTTCTCCTCTGAAAGTTTTTCAGCATTTTGTCTTTTCAAAACAATAATGCCCTGGTTTTCAACATGCAAATATCTTCTGACACTTTCAATTACTGCCCTGAGGCTGCTTTTAAAAATGCCAGTAACATGCTAAAAAGTTCTCTGGCTAGGTATTTATCCGCAAAGACTCTCAAGTAGGTACCTTTTTGGAGTTTTAACTTAAGAGTACAAACATTTGCTACAGTGACACTCTTTATGCCATTTTTTTAAACCTACTTGAGATCACCCCAGCTACTCAGGGACTGGGCACTATTACACCAAAGAGCACTTGCTGCCCACTCCAAGTATGGAGATTTCCTGGGCTTTTCTGGTTCCACATCATTTTAAATGTCAAATTATGGATCTTGGGTAATTCCAGTGACAACAACTGCACAGAAGTGACTATGCAGTGTTTTTCATCTTTGAGCCAGTCCTCAATTCATGACACAACTCCATCACAGCACCATATATTTTTTTAAAGAGCCTCATCGGACTGTTTGAAGGTAAACTGATTGATATCCACTGACTCTGCCTTAGTTTACCTCTTCCAAAACATCCCACCACATTCGTTTTGTTCAGACCATGCTGTCCTTCTCACCACAGCCTATACATCAGGGGACAAGGATTTTCCTTTTTCTATAGGTTTCCTCCTATGTCCTTCTGAAATGGAGGCAGAAGCCAGAGGTTCTAGGAATTTGCTATTTAGTGAAGAAATGCAAAATATTTCAAATAATATTATTAATCCTCTTATAAAGTAAACACAAACATAGTATTATATTAACTTTATTGAAAAGAAAGCTAACAGTGGAAATTTTAGGGGATTTTGTATGATGGAATTAGTTTAGATCCCAGTTTGAAAGATTCCTAATTCAGTGTTGCAAAAACACAAAACGCTACCTCGCAGAAAAATGGGATAGTATTTAAAAGTCTGCTTCTCCTATTAAACTAGATGGTATGCCCACTTACAATCCTACACTATTCAGCATGACTTGTTAACAGATACTAAATGTAACTGAATCACAGTCAAGAAAACTGTACAAAAAGACAACTAATACAGATCAAAAGAACGAATGGCTAAACTGGATTAAAGCAACGGATAGAAATTACCAATGTACCTTTAGCTCTTCAAGCTTCTCTCTTATTTCAATAAATCCCAGGTGCAGTTTACCCCCAAAGTGATCAGCCAGTCGTCTGTCATTATCATGAAGACCCAAATAGGCAGAGCAGACTTCACAGACTCGAAGTTTCTGCTGCTGGAAACTGGAAGCTGGCATAGAATTCCGGTAAACCTCCTACACAGAAGTAAAAAGTGAGAAAAACACTGATCACGTAAACCTCAAGAGTCACACAATAAAATACACTATGAAATAATAACAAGTGTTCTAAAGCATATACAAAAACATGGCCATGTTGTTATGCAAATCAGATTCCTCTCAACTCCCAGGTCTGTCCTCAGGCCCTCTCCAGGGGAGGTCAAAGATCACAGCCTCTAGCTGCAATCGAGTCGACTGCAATGAGTTGTTGGTTACTATGATATAAAATACAGCTTTCTGGAAAAGGTTTTCTCAGAATTCCAGAATGTTCTGTTTCCTATAACTTTTATAAAAATGAGCTGTAGCAGCTCCAATACTGCACACCAGTGACAGTTCACACCAGTGAAGGGTTCAGGAAGCAGAAGGCCCCCTGCCGGCTGCTGGCAGAGCAGCCAGCAATGTCTTCTTACAATGAGACTCCGACTGAGAGGAGGAGTTCAACAACACAAGAGAGAGACATGTCTTGTACTCACCATTTTACTCATATTAACTTCATTAATGGAACAATAAATTGGCAGGTATCCCTACAAGCTCTCTGTCCCCTTTTGCCTTACTAAAAGAACCCTGATTTTTGTTTGAGGCAGCAACATGCCCAGCTAAAAGTACTACATTTCCAAGTTTTCAATTAAGGTTTGGCTAAGCAGATGTAAGTGGAAACTGCTGGATAGAATTTACAAGAAAGTTCTTTAAAAGGGAGTCAATACATTCAGAAAGAAAATCATGAAGAGATGCTATAACCTGTCAATCAAAGTTTAATGAAAAACAGAATATTTACATAACCTCAAACTGTCAAGACTAAGATACTTTTTTCCTCTAGTGGTTTCTGTAGGGTTCATAGTATAAAATTTTAACTTATAAGAAAGCCTGAGTGGCTATGTTAATACCAGACAAAGCAGTTTTCAGATTCAGGGACAGTATTAGGGATAAAGAGAGACATTTCATAATAACAAAGAGTTCAATTCATCAAAAAGACATAACGATTCTAAATGATATAATCACTTATTAACAGAGTTTCAAAATACATGAAGCAAAACTGAAAGGCAATAGACAAATCCACAACTATAGTTGGAGACTTCGACACTCTTCTCTCAGTAATTAAAACAAGTAGACAGAAAATCAATAGGATGCCGAAGACTTGCCCAAATCTATCAACTCTATTGACTCAACTGGCATTTATAGAGCACCCCATCTAACAAGGCAAACACCATCTTTTCAAGAGCAGATGGACCATTCACCAAGACAGACATATGCAGGGCTGTAAACAAGGACCAGTATGTTTAAGAGGATTGAAATCACACAAACGACATTCTCTGAACACAACAGAGTTAAATTAGAAATCAGTAATAGAAAAATATCTGGAAAAAACCACCAAATATATAAAATCTAAACAACAGACTCCTAATCCATAGATTTAAGAAGAAATAACAAGCAATAATATTAGCAAACACTGAACTGAATGAATATGAAAACACAAAATATGAAAATGTGTAGAATACAGCTACAATAGCGATTAGAAGAAAATTTATAGCATAAAAAGGTTTACGATCAGTGATCTAACCTTCCACCTTATGAGGCTACAATAGGAGCAAATCAGACCCAAAGTAAAGCTGCCATTGTTGGGTGTCATCAAGTTGATTTTCCACTCGTAGTATCACGTGTGACAGAGTATAACTGCCCCACAGGGTTTTCCAGGCTATAATCTTTATGAGAACAGACTGCCACATCTTTCTCCCATGAAGCCACCAGATGAGTTCAAACCATCAACCTTTTAGTTAGCAGCCGAGCATTTAACCATTGCACGACCAGCGTTCCTAAGGTGAAGTAGGAGAAAGGAAGTAATAAGCATAAACAGAAATCAATGAAATAGAAAAAAGTAAACAAAGGGGAAAAACAATAAAATCAGAGGCTGGTTCTTCAAAAAGAAAAATAAAACTGATGAACACCTAGCTAGCTGCACCAAGGAAAAAAAAAAGACAAACTGCAAACATCACTATAGTCTACAGACACTAAAAAGATAAGAAGGGAATACTAGCAACAACTTTATGCCAATAAATTAGACAATGCAGAGATTTGGTGAAAGATCAATTTCCAAAAGTGACTCAAAAGAAACAAACCCTGAATACTCCTATGACTATCAATTTATTTAATTCTTAACTGAAAAAACCTTACATAAAGAAAATTCCAGTCCCACATGGCTTCACTGGTGAATTCTAACAAACATTTAAAAAAGAAAGAATGCCAATCCTACAAAAGACACTTGAGAATACTTCTCAACTCGTTTTATGAACCAGCATTACCTTGATACCAAAACCAAAGTACAAAGTCATTACATGACTAAGTTACCAAGAATGGCTGGGGAACGCCATACTGTGGATAATAAAGCTTTCCTTCCACACCCTCCTTTCTGTGAAAAATATCTGACACATACTGAGTCTTCCTCTTCCTTCTCGCTCTCTCAGGGTTATCATTACTGCACAGCTATTGTGCAAAGCAATGACCACAGCCTTTCCCTCCCTCCTCCCTCCCCTCCTTCACCTGAAGATCAGCACTACGTTCGGGCAGGTAAAGGTGGGATGATGGAAGAGGTATTAAGGTGGCTTCCCTCTACTCTGCTTTTCCCTCTAGTGGGAAGAACAGATGCTAGTACCAGGACATTAGGAGGAAGGAAAAGAACCTGCATTCCAAGTAGTCTGAAGAGGGTGTTCCTTTTCTGTGACCTTGCCACACAGACCCTGCCCTCTCAACACCCAAAATACACTGGTGAGAGGTTTAAAAAAAAAAAAGGAGAGCGGTGCCCAGGGTTGAGAGGAAACATTGCCTCGCAGGAGGATTCCAAGCTCAGATATCTGCAGCGGCCAGGCGGATGACCCGCCAAGCAGGTCAGTGTGATAGTTGGGAGCAGTGGAGACTACGGCAACGGGCAGAGAACAATTCCATCTGAAGGCATTCAATTTCTAAAAACATCAGGGAGGCCAAACAAACTAGGACTCTGCCTGTAGGATATTCGATTCTGACCTGTGCTGGAAGGTAGAGTGAGAAGAGGCTCCTATGGTGCTAGCAGACTGTACCAAGGTCGGGGAATGCTATGGTCACATGGGGGTCGAGTGGCAGGTGAGTATCGCAGTGACCGTGCACATGCAGAGTGTGTCTGACTACTACAATTCATTTCATTTACCAGTTACAGATTTCAGCAGATCAATGACCCCAAATTCAAAAAAAAAAAAACAACTAATTCTGGAACACAACCATTAGTATGACACAGAGCACTTAAATATTTTTATGTTAGTTTAAATATCCTTTACCAATAATTTTTCAGGACTCTCTAGTCAAATATATGTTCTTCAAGAAGTACAAGTACTATGACAGCTGTCTACCAGCACTGAAAGTTCAATCACCTCTGCTTCTCTCTTCTTTGCCCGTGCTTTCTCTACTTCATCCATCACTTTCTGGGATTCTTCCACATTTCCCTCAGCTCCCAGCTGTTCCACCTTAGCTAACAATTTACCAATTTCTTCATTTAACTCATGAACACGCTCTGCCTAGAAGGAAACACGGAGGAAGATAATGAATAAAAAACAATAGCAAAGTTCAAAACATTTCAGCAACGCTCAGAAGTTACCTAAGCAATACGAGCATAAACAATGCTTCCTGAGCATTTCCCCAGGGCACTGGGGAGACGTCAGGTGTTTGGAGTCGGGCTGAATTTATTTCCCTGCATCTGGTATCCTACGGATCCCAAAAGAACTGCTCCTTTCCAGCCTCAGCTTGGGCAGGACGTTCAATCTAAGATATTCCTTCCCTCAAAGAGACTCTCAACTCTATTAGCACTACCCTACCTCTTTACTAAAGCAGTGGTATTTTTCTTTAGATATCCGTCATTAAGGCCCCAGACTCTTGACCCTTCCCTATATCCATGTCCTTTGCCATCTAACTTTAGTGCCATCCTACTCCGTCTCTGAACTTGGCCACATAACTGGCCTTGGTTAACAGGATGGTAGCAAACATGACAAGAGGAAAGACTCATGACTGGGCATGATGCTTCTGTATCTTTGCTGCCACCACCGCAAAAGCATCACCAGGCTAGCCTTCTAGGCATGGCTGTGTCTTCCAGATGACGGAAAGATAAGTGAGTCGGCCCAACTAGGACAGGAATAACTGCCCAGTCAATATCAGCCTAAGTCACTGACATGCAGACTCATGAGCTAAATCAGTATTTACTGTTCTCAGCCACTGAGTTTTGAGGTGGATAGTTACACAGCATTTCTGCTTACGAATCTCTTTCAACCATGAGATATCGGACGCCCATCTTTATGGTTCCCATCTTCAGAGACCTTTTCAGAAAAGGCTGGCTAAAAAGAATGCTCTTCTCAAGCAAGAAAATCCCTTTCATACATATCTTAACACCATACTTTAGTGCTGCAATTGGAACCTCTACCTCTACCTTGGTAACTCTGTCTCACATTCCAGATTTTCATAAAACGTTAACTATGAAGAAGTCAATCATCAGATCAACCAAATGCAATATATTGACCTTGTTCAGATCCTGATTAGAACACATTGACTCTACACAGGAAAAAAAGCGTATTCTGGATATTAGATCATATTAAAGAATTATTGTTAGCTTTATGGATGTGATATTATGATTATATTTTACAGGTGAAATGATATGACGTCTAGAATTTGCTTTTAAAATACTGAAATATAAGCAGAAAACTGATGACTTTTGAAACTCAGTAATGGATCCACTGGGATTCATTATACTTTTCTATTTTTTTGTGTACGATAAGTTCACAATAAAACATTTTTTACAAGTAGTGAGTTGAGGAAGACTTAAAAAGGACACTTGAAACAACATTTAAAATGAACAATTAGAAAATCTGTGGCTCCACAATTTCAAAGTAAGTTAAAATAAAACAAAAAAAGCAGTGAGTCAAAACCACATTTTGCACTAATGAAATGACTGAAATTCTTACCTTTGCTGCTACTTCAGCACTAATCTCTTCTTGAGTTTCTGCTAATCTTTTCTTAGCCACTTCTGTTCTTCTGTCACAATCCGCAATAAATGACTGCAGATGATCCATGGCCTAAAAAGATTAATTGAAAGACAATTAGAAATGGTCTTATCTGGAAATACTTATAAATTACACTTCGTTTTTAAAAATGCTACCATGGTAGTAAAAAAATAACAAAAGAAGCATATTCAATAATGAAACCAAAATACTATCTGCCACCTGTCAAACTGGCAAAGAATAAACATCAATAATAATTCCCAGGAATGAGAAGACTATAAGGAAATTGCCACGTTTATACCCTGCTGAAGAAAGCACAGACAGGTATGGATGGCCCTTAGAAAAAGGCAATGTGCGTGTCACTAAACTGTATATGTAGAAACTGCTGAGCTGGTGTATGTTTTGCTGTGTATATTCTCAACAAAATAAAATAAATAAAGAGCAATGTGGCAACTGCTATCAAAAGCCTTAAAACAAACCCAGCTTAGTAATTCTACTTAAAGAAATTTGTCGTAAAAAAGTAATCAGAGATACATGGAGGATTAGTATTGAAACCTATTCTTCACAGTGTTGTTATTTAGAATGGTAGAAAGTTATAGATGCTCAAACGTCCTTTCGACACTAAGAAATTGACTTGTTTAGTCACTGAGAAAGTTTTTACAAGAATACTTAATGATGTGGGAAAATGTTCCTGGTTCATTTGTAAATAAAAATCAAGTTGCAAAATGTTACACCCAATAAGACCTCAATTTTGTAAAATAAAACAGGATAGAAAAGATTTGAAGGGTAGACATAAAATGTTAACTGCAATTTTTTTTTTAATATTTGGATCATTTTTAATAGTTTATGTTTCTCTGTGTTTTTCAAATTTTCCAAATTAAATGTTACAATTAGAAAAACCTGCCTTATTTTTCAAAGAATAAACTACCGACAATTTTAGCAGTGTGTACGCTGTAAAGACCCAATTCAATTATTTACATTAAAAGACATTTATCAGTCATGTTAATATGTCTATAATGAAATAACGTTCACTTAAAAGTACATTTTAAAAATCTGTTCTCAAGTGAAACAATATGGGCTTTCAAATCTAAATCTAGGGAAATACAACTAATCCAAAATACACGTTTAATTAAAGATACAAATTTATCCACCATACATCTAATTCTAAAAATGGTGAAAGAATTTCTTGAAAGTGAAAATCAATAAGAATCATGAAAAAGCTTTTATCTGTAATGACAAAAAACCAAAACCAAACCCACTGCCGTCGAGTCAATTCCGACTCATAGCGACTCTATAGGACAGAGTAGAACTGACCCATAGGGTTTCCAAGGAGCAGCTGGTGGATTCAAACTGCCAACCTTTTTGGTTAGTACCCACGGCTATTAACCACTGTGCCACCAGGGCTTCGAAATGACAAAGAGATAGATAATGAACTCCTTTACCTGGTTGCCCAATGGTTAAACACTCGGCTGCTAACCAAAAGGTTGGCAGTTCAAACCCTCCCAGTGGCTCCATGGAAGAAAACCCACTGCTGTCAAGTCAAATTCTGACTCACAGTGACGGTATAGGACAGAGTAGAACTGGCCCATAGGGTTTCCAAGGAGCAGCTGGTGGATTCCAACTGCTGACCTTTTGGTTAGCAGCTGAGTTCTCAACCACTGCTCTGCCAGGACCTGGCGATCTGCTTCCATAAAGATTACAGCCTAAGAAACCATATAGAGTAGTTCTAATCTGTACTATAGGGCCATTAGGAGCCGAAATTGACTCAGTGGCACACAATAACAACAATTTGAAGCTTATCTTTATAAATTATAGCAGAAATCTATTAAAATTTTCTTATGCTAAGATAAAGGTGGAATCTCAAAGCAGTGAGGGAATAGATTAATCAATAAATTATGTTGGGCCAATTAGGAAGCTATTTGGAAAAAAAAGCTAGGTCCACACTCCAATACCTTCAACCAGAATAAATTCAAAGTGGATCAAGAATTTAAGTGTATAAACTATTAAAATACTACAAGAAACCACGGGAGAGAATTCTTATCACCTCAGTACAGGGAAATTCCTGCAAAAGGTAATAATTTAACCCATTAAAGAAAAATCACATACATCAAGCTCAAAGAAAAAGTCTTGTTCTTTGGATGCAATTTCATAATCCGCTCTTAAAGCCAGGTCATGGACTTTCAGACATTCTCCAAGATCCATTCTCTGGTGGGGGGAAAGACAGATAATATTAAAACAGAAAATACATTTTTCAAAAATGCATTAACAATTACAGGTCTCTCCAGAATACATATTGTCATACAAGATGCTTCTTTCAAATTACAAAATTTCATAGGCAAGTATACAACTTGGTGCCAGAAAAAAAACTGCATCAATTATGTCTACCAACAGATGGAAACAGTGATCACTTCTGTAGTCAAGAACAAATGGACAGGGAAAAACCTATCAGACGCTGAGAAGAACTTACAGTTTCTATATCAGAACATATTTCGCTGAGCCCCATAACACAAAAAAGATAAACCAGGTTAATTTACATTTTAAAATCAAACTGAAAGAATGTGTAAATCATATTACTGAATTATGGTCAATGTTCTCTGAAAAACATTCTGATTTTCAAATAAAGATGAAGTCCCCGAACAACAGACTGGTGACCTGAGCCCGATCCCAGGCTGACTCCACACGCACCAGCAAAGACTGCCGGTGTGAGTTCTCGGAGAACAAGGACCTAATCCACCTCTGACGAGGGTGGATCAGGGAAACCAAACGAACACTCTTTCTGATGCAAGGATGCTTCTGTTTAGAACTTCCAGTTAGACACTAAAACCAGAGGCTTTTCTCACATGAGATAAAATCCCTAAAATCTGTCCCATTTTACATGTAACGTGACAATTGATAAGATTTTTTAATGAAATCTTTTGGGGGTGGGGGACTGAAGGGAAAAAATGAGCTAGATGCAAAGACAATTACAACAAAAGCACAATAAAACAGTGATCGCGAAGTATTTCCTTCAACTGACTAAGTACCCACTTGTGCTGAGCACTAGGCTAGGTGCCGGGGGTATATTCCACAAGATAGCTACGTCTCTAACTTCATAGAGCTTACATTCAAGGGGACAGAAAACAAACAATAAACAAGAATTGTGCCTATGAACGAAGTAAGGTGATCTAATAAAAAGTAACACTCCCCATTACTATGGGAAACCATTTGGGATGTGGTGGTACAGAAGATCTTTCTGAAGAGGAGTAATTTAAACTGAACCTCAAGAGAAGACGCAAACGAACTTTGAGAAAAGCCAGTGTTCCAAGTTTTGCAGAAGATTTAGAAGACAGACCTTTTTTTTTATTTAGAGGGAAGTTTCTAGCAGCAAACGGAGACTCTACAGCATGTAAGCCTGGGCCCTACCCTTGTACACAGCATTTAGAAATGGCTTTGCCTATTTAACTTTTTGCCACAAACCTGCATATGTGTGTATAACAAAGGATATATCATTAATGTTGAACAATACCCAAAGCTAGAAAAGACAGTGAATTCACTGGATCAGAATTCAAAAGGATGAAACCAGATAAAATTTAACAGAAATAATTATGAAGTCCCATAGATACACCTAAGAAAACAAATCTACAAATAACTAGGTACCAGTTGATAATCAGACAAATTTAAAAAGACACAGAAATTTTAGTCCAGAGTGAGGGTGGCCCGACTGAGATAAACTCATATTACCTAAAACATCACCCACGGCACCGTCACATCTCCGGTGGCAAAGCACCCAGCACTGGCACTGGAGCGGTGACGGACGACACAGTGGGCGACGTGGAAGGGACGCTTTGCCACCGGCAGCCCTCGTGTCCTGTGGAGTAACAACGCTGATTCAAGGACATTCTTTGCTTTACTCAAAATCCCACTGATGGACATGGTGGATATACGGGACAGAGTTCCTGTTTGATAACCCAGTGGGTGGGGGGTTACTGGCATAGAAACACCCCATTCTGCCCTGGAACTAACCCTTTTGCTGACATGATAGCCACTTCTAATTTAGCAGGCTGGGGACTCTATGAGTAAGGTGGGACTACTTAATAAACAACAGTATATAATTGTTGATGTCAGAGTCTAGGCTCCTGCTGGTTGGCCCTAGATTAACGACAGTCTCACAGGGAGGAGTCCGTGCCCTAGCGGGCACTTAGTGTTGCGTCTTTGTTAATGACAGTTACAAAGAAGTGCACAGAGAAACAGCTGAAGTCCAAGCCTGGCCAGGTGGAGAGGTGAAAGTGCCTCTGTATCTTCCGATACTCTGACAGGACCTGTTCAGTTGGTTATCAACCGGATGGGGGACATGGCTGTGACTCATTATGCAAATGGGCCTGATCATCCTGTTAACAATGGTCATAGCAATAGGACATATTAAATGTTACGACTTCCCTTGAACACTGCTATATTAAGACCATGGCAATCAAGGTAATTAATAAATATGATGGCACTGACTTGCATCTACGCCTTTGTGAAGGTCGCTGGGCTTATGACAATGACATAGACAAAAAATAACAGGACAGCTGGGGGTGGACTGCCTGACACACAGGTGTGTTGTTTCATAACTGCCCGCTCACTGTCTCCCTACCTGCAAACGGACGTACAGTATGTGCTTTAAGAGGAGATAACTGCCCTATGAAGAAACCCAAAACTCTGTTAAGCTATCTTAATGGGGTAAAGGAGGGCTGTTCTCTGGGACCAGTCAATCTAGACCCCTCTGAACAGGGGCAATAAATAATGTTCATTGCCTGCAGGAAGCTTTCCACTTTTACTACCCTCTTTTACCTAGTATTACTCCCTTTTTTCGCCCCTTCCACTACCTGTTCTCTATACATGCTATTTGGCATGTAGACATGGCTGTCCAATTAGTACAATCCCGGGAGAAAGGAACTTAGGTGTGCTCCTCCCAAGACGTGAACTGGGGTGTGCTCAGATGCGATCTAACCCTGTGGACGGAAGCCTAACTTCGGGGAGCCTAGGGTGATGATGACGTGTGCTGTTCTACTTATCCCTGTCCTTTTATTCTGTGAGTAATAAACGCCTGGTGATCACAGCATTGGAACTGTCTGGTCTGTGCTCTGCTCCAAATGGTCCTTCACTAAGAACTTGTGAATACAGTGACACTGCATAGATCCTAGTCATCTATGATCCTCTGTCGATACCATCACAACTAAGCATCTACACTGGCACTGTGCCACGCACATGGGGAATATTTAAAACAAAAAACCCAACAACCACCTGCCATCGTGAGTGCAAGGAAACCATGGCTGGGTTAATACTCTCCATGGCCCCAAGAGGGCACCCCCATAACCACCCATGGACCAGTCCTCAGAAACCCGTGCTGCCCTGAGGACAGGCCCGCCGTCACCATAAACCCTGTCACTGTGCTGTCAACACCAAGTGCTCAGACACTTACTGCTGCTTCTTTCTTTTAACTAAATGAGCTTAAAACGGAACAAAACAAAACATCTGGTTATCATTATTCTAACTTAAAATGACCTTGTTTATGATGAAAGCAACAGGAAGAGTTTCAAACTTTTTAACTAGTAATTTACTTCATAATTAAAGTCTCTCTGCAAGTTTATTATTGGTGTTTTAATTAACAGACATCTAAATTCTTAAGATTGTAAATGGAAAAAAAAATGCTTATTTTTAATCGAATAAATTCAGCTCTGCATTTTCTCTTCTCCATCCTAAATCCTCAATGAAATTGTGACCAAGTAACAATACCTGATCCTGATAACTTCTCTCTTATATTCCTAAGCATTTTATACTGTATTTTACTGTTAACACAGTCAGTTCTGTTAAGTGCTTTCTTCTGAAATTCCAAAAGTGAATGTTATCTCCCCAAATGGGCTCTAAGCTTCACGAGGAAGATAGATACCTATTTCTCTTACCTTCCCCTCCTACATAAAAGACCTAGTTTTGCACAACCCATGACTATTAAATAAACTCGACCACTTGACTAAGAAATTCTAAGAACTTAAGGAAACAATGAAAGAAGTACACTGATAAAGGTCAATAGTTTTGTTGTTGTTGAGAATACACACAGCAAAACATATGCCAATTCAGCAGTTTCTCCATGTACAATTCAGTGACATCAATTACATTCTTCAAGTCGTGCAACTATTCTCACCCTCCTTTTTGAGTTGTTCCTCCCCTATTAACATAAACTCACTGCTCCCTAAGGTTCCTATCTAATCTTTGGAGTTGCAGTTGTTGCTTTGATCCTATATAAACAGTTCTTAAAAGAGCATAATGCTCCAGGCAGAGATTCTTCACTAGTTAACCTAGACTACTGTCTGGTTTTAAGGTTTAAAGATTATCTCAGGGCGATAGTTTCAGGAGCTCATTCAGCCTCAATGGCTCCAGAAAGTCTGGAGTCCATGAGAATCTGAAATTCTATTCTGCCATTTTACTCCTTTTGAACAGGATTTGTCTATAGAATCATTGATCAAATGTTCAGTAATGGTAGCCAGGCAAGTTTAACAGTGTTGTTTTTGATATAAAATAACTAGAAGTGTTTTAAGAACCTAGCAATAGGGGTTTGGTTAATTCAGTTACGAAACAGCCATACAATGAAACACTACGCAGCCACGAAAAACGGTGCTCTTGATATACTAAGAGAAGGTGATAATGGAAGACATACAATAAAATGCCATTTTTGCAAAATTAGCTAAACAAATTGCTTTGAGTCTGTTTGAACTTTTTGGATTGGTTGAATTATATACAATTAAACCCGTCATCACTGAGTCAATTTCAACTCATAGTGACCCTGCGGAACAGAGTAGAACTGCCCCATAGGGTTTCCAAGGCTGTAATCTTTACGGAAGCAGACTGCCACAGCTTTTGCCTGTGGAGTGGCTGCTGGGTTCGATCTGCTGACCTTGCAGGTAGCAGCCGAGTGCTTAACCACTGCACCACCGGGGCTCCTTTAGCACATCTTACTCTTAAAATCAGAAAAAAAAAAAAAAATCAATGAAGTCACTTTAATTTGAGAAAAAAATTTAAGTAATGCAAACAGGCATATGGAACCTGGACATCAAAATCAAATAAAAAGCAAATCAAATGGGTGATTTATACATTTGAGTGTACTGCCAACTGTAAACGAATGGTACAATGTGCTAATGAACATATCAGTGACAAAACATTTCAGGCACAGTAACACCTCCAAGTAACTG